GGAGAAGACCACGTTGGGCCTCCTTTATCTGCTAGCAGGTTTTTCAGGAAGCATCATGCAATGACCTCCCCAAGGTGGATTGTGCATTAAATTTACAAGTAGCAAGAGTAATGAGAGGTCATACTACCTTAAAGCCATCGCTGTAAACAAAGTTTAAAAACAAAGACAAAGATTGGGTGAGGTTGGCATATGCCCACAACCCCAGTGACTCAGGAGGCTGAGGGAGGAGGATCACAAATTTGAAGCCAGCCTGGGCAACTTAGTGATACCCTGTCTCAAAATAAAAAATAAAAAGGGCTGGAGATATAGCTCAGTGGTACAGCTATATGTGCCTTAAAATATTAAAAAATAAAGTCATGGATGTGGGGTGTAGCTTGTGGTAGAACACTTGCCTGGCATGTGTAAATTCAATCCCTAGCACTGACAAAGAATAAAAAATAAATAAAGCAAACACATAGAAAAAAGGATCAGTATCTAGAAATAAATAGTTCTTATAAATAAAAAAGAAAAAAATATGTCAGTAGAAAAATGAGCCAAACATATGCTACAGCAACTGAGGATAGAAATGTAAATTGACAATGAACATCTGGAAAAAAAAAAATGACTTTTTTTTTGTAATGTAGAGAAATGTAGAGAAATGAGGGTGCAAATAGGTATAATCTTTTTATAATTAGGCTGCTTCATTAATTTTTTTCTTTTTCTTTTTTGCCTGGTGTTGGGAATTGAATTCAGAACCTCCTTCATTCATTATAGGCAAACACTCTACCACTGAACTACACTCCCAGTCCTATTCCAATTAAAAAATTTTGACTTAGTAATTTTTTTGTTAATATGTCACATGTTTGTGTCCAAAAATGTATGTAGAAGATTATTTGCTGAGACAGCTTTTAAGAGTCTCTCCCTCTATTGACTGAGCTAGCCAGGTGCTTCTGAGACAGCTTTTAAAGGTGAAAAATTGGAAGCAATTTAAATGCTCACAAGTAGGGTTATGATTCAATCACTGGGCATTCATTCTGTGGAGCAGTGTGCATGAGTTAGATCTCTACGTGCTGATATAGAACAATCTCCAAAACACATTCCTCTTTAGTTTTCTTTTTGTGGTGCCGGGATGGAACCCAGGGCTTCGCACATGCTAAGCAAGCATTCTATCACTGAGCCACATCCCCAGCCCCAAACATACTTCTAAATGTAAAAAGCAAGTTGCAAAACAATATGTAAGATAGTACCTGTTCATTTTTACAGAACAAAGTGAAACAAAAATCCCATTTATAGGTCTCTGTCTGTTCATACACTCCTGTTGATAGTGTTCAGGACCAACATCAAGTTCCTATAGTGGGAGGGGTGGGACTGAGGATGTGAAGAAGGAGTTCCTCTTTTTATTCTATTTCTATGCTATTTGCTGCTTTACAAGAGTAATACATTCAGTATTATTTGTGCAATTAAAAGCTGCACATAAATATTCCCATATAGGATATATTTAATTTATAAACTCATATCAAATTAGGTCTTTCACAAACACAATGGCTTCCCTAGTTCACCAATATAAACCCATTTCACAGATGGGAAAGCGGCAGAAAAAATGGACTTGCCGGGCTGCACAACAAGCCAGGACTGGGGGTGGGGGTGGAGAAGAATATCTACAGATAAGTCAGAGTGGTCAGCCTGGGCTGAGAGGTCAGGGGTATGAAAGAGTCTTCATTCTCAAGGAACTTACAGATTCACTGATGGGACAAACCATTCCTAGACCAAATGGTCTAGCTTGGTAAGAACCCATTTAATTAGGGCTCACATTGCTTGAGGGCTAAACATGTGCCAGGCGATTGCTAAGGTCTTTAGATGCAATAACTAATTTTATTCCCCACTGATTTTCTGATGTAGGTACTCCAGTTATTATCCCCATTTTACAGATAGGACCAAGGCACACATGGGTTAAGGAACTTGTACGTAGGAAGTATTGGAGGCTGAACTGAATCGTCTCGCTCCACCTTCCTGTTTGGGAAAGCAGACAAGCTAAGAGGCATTAGGAAAGAAAAGGCACATTTGCAGTTCTCCTGTTGTCCCCTCGCAGTGGTGGGCCAAGGATCCTGCAGAGTGGCTCTTTATCACAGGGGAGGGAGTTCCTTCCATGGCTCACTCTTCTTGTAAATCAAACATGAAAAGCTCATCAATGAAGAGTTACACAAGTTGCTTGGGTGCCAGGCAGGCTGGAGGGGACCTTTGTTTTTTGTTTTGTTCTGAAAATTTTCAAACATAAGCAAAAGTAGAGAAGAAAGTAGGATGAACTCAATGTTCCAGAATGCTTTGGGTTTAAACCACGATGCTCAGCAGGGAAGGACCTCCTGGGAGAATTCAGAGAAGCTTGGGGAAGCCCAGCATCCCTCAAGGGATGCAAGGGAGGGGATAAGAGGGTGTGGGGCTGAACCCCAGGTGGGGTACATCTGACTGCTGAAAGCCCTGTATCCACTCAGTTGGCTCCAGACCACCCCAGCTCTGTGGGGACTATCGAAAATTCAGAACTCTTCCTTAAAAAACTAAATCCAAAACAAACAAAAAAGATAATCTGCATACCATAAATTCACTATTTTAAAATGTACAATTCAGTGGTTTGTAGTATATTCACAGAGGTGCACAACTATCATCATTATCTAATTCCAGTGCATCTTAATCATCCTCAAAGAAACTCCATATCTATTTGCAACCACTCCCTATTCCTCTCTTCTCTTGGCCCCTGGCAACCATTCTTCTACTTTCTGTTTCTAAAGATTTCCCTATTCTGGATATTTCATATAAGCAGAGTTGGACAATATGTAGTTTTTTGTCTGGTTCTTTCAACTATGCTGTTTTCAGGGTCTATCTATGTTGTAGTATGTATCAATACCTCGTTCTTTTTTATGACTGAATAATATTCAATTGTATAGATACAATGCCTTTTGTTTGTTCATTGATTTGTTGATGGGTATTGGGTTATTTCCACTTTTTAGTTATTATACATAATGCTACAAATATATACAAGTTTATGTGTGGATATGTTTTCATTTCTCTTGATTATAAACTTAGAGATGGCATTCCGGGTTGTGTTTTAATTTGATGTTTAACTTTTTTTGTAATTGAAATTTTCACTGAAATAATTGTAGGTTTACCTGCAGTGGTAAGAATTAACACAGAGGAATTCCATGTGCTCTTTTCCCAGTTTCCACCAATGGTAACTTACAGAAATATAGTACAACATCACAACCAAGACTGGACCTTGATATAATCTGTGGGTTACATAGATTTCTGTCTATCTCTGTTTAACTTTTTGAGGAACTGCTAAACTGTTTTCCACAGTGACTACAGATTTCCAACACCAGTGTATGATGATTCTAATCTCTCCACATACTCACCAATATTTCATGTTTTCCTTTTTAAGATATTATAATCATAGTAGCAGGTATAAATATCATTTTTTTGTTTGTTTTTGAAACAGGGTTTCTCTATGTTGACCAGCTGGCCTCAAACTCTTGGAGTCAAGTGATCCTCCTGCCTCAGCCTCCCAAGTACCTGGGAATACAGGCACACACATAGCACTTGAGTTTTAAATTCATTGTGGATTTGCATTTCCCTGATGGCTAATAATGTTGAGGATCTTTTCATGTTAAGAAGGTGAGTGAATTGCCTGAAACCATCCAGGAACCCACGTGGGAATCAGAACTTGAATCTAGAGGAGAGATTCCTGGAAAAGGGAGATGGAAGTCCTGGGAATTAGCCAAAGTTCTGGCACTTGTTGTTGGGTGAACTTGCACAAATGATGTCCCTCTTGGGTTCTCAAATTCATCAGGAGATAGACATCCCTAGATAATTACAATATTAATAATGTACTGAGGCTCCATGCCAAGGAAGGACTTTAAGTATAACACCTCTAACTCTTTCAATAACAATATAAGTTAAGGACAAGCTTCATTACCAGAAAAGGAATCGGAGACTTTGAAGCCAGTAACTGAGGACACTTGGCTTGGACATGTGAAGAAACGGCCAGAAACCCATGCTCTTTCCATTCTACATCTCCAAATCTATTACCCTCCTTGAGCCTTAGTTTCCTCAACTGTAAAGGTCCAAAAACAGTCAGGCACAGTGACCTTCAGCTGAAATCCCAGTGACTCCAAAGGCTGAGGCAGAAAAATTGCAAGTTCGAGGTCAGCCTCAGCAAATTAGAGAGTCCCTAAGAAACTTAGTGAAATGATGTCTCAAAATTAAAAAAAAAAAAAAAAAAGCTGGTATGTAGCTCCATGGTAAAGCGCCCTGGGTTCAATCCTTAGACAAAACCAAAAACAAACAAACAAAAAACAAAAACAAAAAACAAACCCAACAACAAAACGAAAGTGAAAGGCAAGTAGAGGAGATTAATTTATTGTGAGGCGCTTTTACTGTATGACCACTATGAGCCAGCATGTTGTCAGTATTGGACACTGAGTATTGAGCTCAATATGATAAATACGATCCTGATTCACAAGAAGCTCACTATCAAGGAGAAAACAGGAAGAAGATGGTTTTTTAGGTGACAAAATGGAGTAAAGAATTATTATTATTATTTGGTACCAGGAATTGAACTCAGGGGTGCTTAACCACTGAGCAACATCCCCACCCCCTTTTTATTTTCTGTTATGAGACAGGGTCTTTTAAGTTGCTTAGGGTCTTGTTAAATTGCTGAGGCTGGCTTTGAACTTATGATCCTCCTGTCTCAGCCTCCCGAGTCGCTGGGACTACAGGCGTGCGCCACCGTGCCCAGTTTATGAAGAATTCTTATTCGTGTATTTGAAATGTGTCCTGCTGGTACACAGGTACTTCCACAGGAGAGCGGATTGGTGCCCAGGTTAGGACACCAGGTTAATATTTTCTTGGCGGCCACCAAGCCTCTATGACTTCCCCTCCTCCCGACGCCAGGGTCGCTACAACATTTCTCAGCTGAACGGTGCCGCGCTCTCCCCACTTCCCGTCTCGCTGGGCATAACTTCCGGTGTGTAGCGGAAGCCAGGTCTGTGGCCGCGGGAGCCCGGGACCCATAGGCATGGCGGGGGCGGGGCCGGGGGAGGTGCGCACGGATCTGGCTGTGGCGTCCCTCGCCCCGGCCCCTTGAACCAGAAGCCGACAGGTGAGGACTTCTGCTTTTTGGTACATTCTCCAAGCCCGTCAGGCCGTCCCCGGCAGTTTCTTTCCGCACCGAGCCCTCGCGACCCCCGCCCTCTCTAAGAATTCCCTTCCCATCGAGGCCCCGCCCCGGGCTTTTCTTTCCGGGGGCGCCTCTTTGGGCACGCGTGTCCGACCCTTGGCGTCCTATTGTTGAGTTGGAGGCCGTCGCCTGGAGTTGAGGGATGTGTGTACATGGGAAACTGAGACCCTTAGGCGGAAAGGACTTTGTGTCACACTTGGGTTGCCCGATTCAGCCAGGCTTTCCCAGCTTCTTTCATTTCATAACAAACCGAAACGCCTAGTGCGCGACCCAGGGTGGACTGAGACAATCGAGGTGGGAAAGTAGACGAAGTTATTTCCTGTCTGGAGGATAGCGGGAGACTCAGACATTAAACACAATCATGCAAGTGAAAGTATAAATACAAGTTGTGACAGTTACTCTAGGGAAAACAACGATGAGTCCTAATTTAGATAAGGTGGTCAGGGAAGACCTCTTGAAGGAGGTGACATGTCTTTAAGGGATAACTTGAGAAATTATAGCAAGGGCAGGGAGAATACATTTTAGGACAGGGAATGTTCCTATTGGGTGCCCGAATTTGCAGAGCACTTGACATGAGGCAGGTCCAGTTTTTAAGAAGAAAGCTTTGCTCCGTGTCAAGCACTGTGATTGGCGTGCAGAATGTGGTAGTGTTTGTGTAGAGCTCACCACCTGGTGAGGGCTTTAGGCATAAGTAAAATATACAAGCAGAGTTGCAGGTGAAATAGTGCAATGAAGGAGACAGGTGGTTAACATATTGGGATTTTATCTAATGGAAAAGTGAAGGGAGACTTCCCTGAAGAAGTGATGATTAAGCTGATATCTGAAATAGGAGTTAGCAAAGCCAGAGGAACTTCTGTAAAGGGCCACATAGTAAATATTTTAGACTTATATGGGCTTTGTTTCAGCTCCTCAGCTGTCCCTTCATAGGGCAAAAGCAGCTATGAGTCATATGTAAATGAATGGTTATGTCTGCCTTTCCATGAAACTTTATCTACAAAAACAGGGAGGCAGGTTAGATTTGGTCTGAGAGCAGTAATTTATGAAGCCCCTCTTGTTGTAGTCTAGATTAGTATATATTTTATATCCTTATCCAGTTATATGACTTATGTATGTGATTGAAACAGTTTTACAAAGCAGTTTGTTACTGTATATATAAATTTTTTTAGGGGGGAGGGGACATTGCTGGACATCAAACTCAGGTCCCAGCACCCCGTCCCCATTGTAGTTTTGATTTGAAGTTCTTTGATGATTAATTGTCATTACCGAGCAAATTGTCATTCATTTGCTTTTTGGCCATTTGTAAGTTGTAGGGCTGAGGATGTAGCCCTGTGGCAGAGCACTCGCCTAGCTTGTGCAAGATCCTGTGTTTGATCCCTGTTACTGCAAAAACAAAAACAAACAACCACCCACAACAAAAACAGAGGGGGGGGGGAATTGTATTTTATTAGTCTTTTTTTTTTTTTTTTTCCAGTACTGGGGATTGAACTCAGGGGCATTTTACCCCTGAGGTATATCCTCAGCCCCTTTTAAAATTTTTGATACAGAGTTTTGTTATCTTGCCAAGGCTAGCCACAATGGGTTCCTCCTTCCTCAGCCTCCTGATTTACTGGGATTACAGGGATGGAACACCATACCTGGCCTATTTTGTCCATTTTTAAATTGGGTTTTATGATTTTTTTTTTTTTTTGAGTTTTAAAAGTTCTGTGTATATTCTGGATTTCAGCTCCTTGTCAGTTACATGATTGGCAAATATTTATTTTCATTGTGTAGGCTGCCTTTTCACTTGTTGATTGTGTCCTTTGATGTGCATATGTTTTAAAGTTTGAAATGTTCCCATTTGTTTGTTTTTGTTTATGCTTTTGATATACCAAAAAAAAAAAAAAAAAAAAACATTGCTCAGACCAAATGTCACTAAGCTTCCTTTTACGTTTTCTTTTAGGAATTTTATAGTTATAGATCTTATGTTTAGGTCTTTAATCCATTTGTGGTTAATTTTTGTAAATGGTATAAAGGTCCAGCTTCATTCTTTTACATATGAATATCAGATTTTCCCAGAACTATTACTGTCCTTTCCCTATTGAGAGGTATCAGTATGGTTGTCAAAGATCGTTTAATTAAATATGTGAGAGTTTATTTTCAGGATCTCTATTTCATGGGCCTATATCTATCTTTATGTCAGTATCATGCTTTTTTGGTTATCGTGGCTTTGTAACATGTTTTAAAATCAGGAAGCATGAGTCTTCCAACTTTGTTATCTTTCAGCGTTTTGGCTCTTTGGGGTCCCTTGAGATTTCATGAATTTATGTTTTTACAATATTTTTACATTGCGATTTTGATAGAAATTGCATTGGAATTGTAGATTGTTTTAGGTAATAGGACCATTTTAATAGCCTGGTAAATATTTTTTGTTTATATGAATGCACAGTGAATGTCATTCTTTTTTTAGGGAATATCTTTCTTAAATTGTTTAAATTTGATTCACTTGTATTCTATTGAACATTGTTATTAGCTGAGCATACTTGGGAGGTATTCCTTGTCAACTCCATCCCTCAAACCTGTTTCTAGGCTTAGAAGTGGCAGAACTATTTCCTGACTATAATCTGGGAGCACAAATTGATGGTCACTCTCATCTCAGGGGCGCCTAGGTTCAGGATAGAAATCTGTCTCACTCGTGTATCTTTACATTTTGGTAAATTTTGTTTTATTTTCTTGACTTCTACCTTACTTTTCTGGGCAGAGATGTGATAATGGATCATCATGTTTCCACTATTAAACCTCGAAGAATCCAAAACCAAAATGTCATTCACCGTTTGGAACGGCGGCGGATAAGTTCAGGCAAGGCAGGTACTCATTGGCACCAGGTTCGAGTGTTCCACCAGAATGTCTTCCCTAACTTTACAGTTGTCAACGTTGAAAAACCTCCTTGTTTCTTGCGTAAATTCTCACCTGATGGACGCTACTTTATTGCTTTTTCTTCTGACCAGACATCTCTTGAAATTTATGAGTACCAGGGCTGCCAGGCAGCAGAGGACCTATTGCAGGGATATGAGGGGGAGATCCTATCCAATGGCAATGACCAGCGGTCAGTCAACATCCGGGGCAGGCTTTTTGAACGATTTTTCGTCCTGCTGCACATTACAAATGTAGCAGCCAATGGTGAGCACCTGAACCGGGAGTGTAGCCTCTTCACTGATGATTGCCGATGTGTGATCGTGGGCTCTGCTGCCTACCTCCCAGATGAGCCTCACCCTCCTTTCTATGAAGTATATCGGAACAGTGAATCAGTGACCCCAAATCCACGGTCCCCTCTAGAGGACTATTCCCTCCACATCATTGACCTTCACACTGGCCGCTTATGTGATACGCGCACATTCAAGTGTGATAAAGTGGTCCTGTCACACAACCAAGGGCTGTACTTGTATAAAAACATCCTGGCCATCTTGTCTGTGCAGCAGCAGACCATCCATGTCTTCCAGGTGACTCCTGAAGGCACATTCATTGATGTGCGGACCATTGGCCGCTTCTGCTATGAGGATGACCTGCTCACTGTGTCGGCTGTTTTCCCTGAAGTACAGCGGGACAGTCAGACAGGCATGGCCAATCCCTTTAGGGATCCTTTCATCAACTCCCTAAAACACCGGTTGCTGGTATACCTGTGGCGCCGGGCAGAACAGGATGGTAGTGCAATGGCCAAGAGGCGCTTCTTCCAGTACTTTGACCAGCTGCGGCAGCTGCGTATGTGGAAAATGCAGCTTTTGGATGAAAACCATCTGTTTATCAAGTATACCAGTGAGGACGTAGTGACACTGCGAGTCACTGATCCATCTCAGGTATGGGGTGAGCTCTCCCCTTTACATTGTCAATCTTGGCAAAATGGGAAGATTTCTCTGTTTGCCTGTAGCCAGTCCCTCAGGGATTCACATCTTAGATAGACCAAATGTTTGCCATCGTAGAACTCAAACAGAATCAGCTCTGTTTTTGTTTTGCCACATATATTGATCTGGACACATGAAAACTAAATCTCAAACTATTGACATATAGGTAGTCCACTCTTTGATTATTGTCCTAATTTTTTGGCATAGCATTTTCAGCACTCTTGAGATGGAAGCTCAAATGCTCTAAGTTCAGGATTTGACAACCTAGGGATAATCCTGTCTTGATTTTGAAAGGCTGTGCTTATGGGGCTGGCTGATTTGGTTTTGGTAATGAGATGAGCTATCCATGCAAAAATGAAATTCCCCTAAAATTCTAACCTTGCTATCCTGCTTAAGTAGTTAAAGTCAATTTAGTTCTCAATAAAATTCTTTTTGTAAGGTAGCTATTAGATAATTTCATTTGATACAGTTTGGAACTTTACCCTGACCTTGCCTATGTATTAAAACATAGGTGGTAGATCAGTGGAAAGATCAAAGGGAATCCCAGATTCCCACTCCACCATGAGAATCATCAGGAATGCAGGTATGAAGGAATTTGAGTCAGGGTGACAGATGTTGGTAGGTGGAGAGGCATTTCTCAAAAGGGAATAAGGGGATATTATGAGCACAGAAATTGCTAAGATTATGGAGTCGAAATACCACGTGGAAATTCAGGGTGCTTTGAGCATAAAGACCAAATAAAAGACCAATCTTTTTTGTACCTTTGCTCTCCCCGCCCCATTCTTCTATTTCCAGATTGCTTCCTTAGGTACTAGTTTGGAAATTCAGAATAGCGAGCCAACTAGTAAACCAGGAAGCCAGCTGAGTCTGGCTTCTCTCATTGACCTGCTATTTAAAGAAACTGTATAGGGCTTTGTTCCCCAAGCCCTCACCAGCCTCCTGTGGTAAAATATCTTCCAACAGTTTTCTTTTGAATCAGAACTTGTATATTCTAAAAAAGCAGAATAATATAGCTGATTATTTTTTTTGATTCTTATGATGAACTCACCCATTTACCACATAAGCTTCTAGTTCACCTTATGTGTCATGGGAGATTGGTGGTATAGTCCTTGACTTCTATTTCCTCTTGTCCTTAATTTCCTAGTTTGCCCCAGTGGGAAACCTGGTAAAAGTTTGTGTAATTTTATATTGATATAATTATGAGATTCTGGTAAAGCCCTGATATGATCAAAGTGTTGTCCCGGTCTATAGAAAGGACATGAGTTAACCTTTTATTTAGGTAAACCTATAATTACCTTTTTATTTTGGAGGAATAGGTTGTCTGTGATTATTGCATTTGAGATTATCCTTTTTTCTGTTGCTAACTGGTGATTTATATTTTTCTGGTAGCTACAGTAAATTGTAACTAGAAAGCTTCTAGGGCTCTGTCCTTTGCTTACAGAATTTGTAACTCTAAACCCAATCTCCTTGCCCCAGTTGTCATCCTTACTCTTCCCCCAGTTTAATCTGATAGGTTCCAATAAGGTTGATGAGTAAAAAATGCATCCAGACACAAAGCCTTGGTAATATTATGGGTATTATTCTCACGTTACCCTCCAGTCTTTTTAATTTACAGCCAAATTTAATTCCAGGTACTGAAAAAGCCATGTAATAGAAACTCTGGGAAGAATTAATTACTAGTAAAACAGGTACACCTAATGGCTCTAGAAATTGATAATGGAGATTTAAACAGAGGAGAGTGAAATACTAATCCTGGTGTTCTGAAAACTTCTAGAGTCCTGTTGGAAGCTTGCAAACTAATCCATTCTGCTACATTCACAGTGACAAAAAGTGTGTGCTTCCTATTAGAGCACTGTACTGGAGATTTGAAGGAAGAAGGCTAGTCACCTAGAGGCCCATTCAGAAAAAGCAGTAACTGCCATCTATGGCATTTGAATGCTTTTCAGGTTCCCCCTCTGATCTTAATTGCTACAAATCTCAAATGCATCTTACAAATGCTCTTGACTGAAGGAACATTTATGAAGAAAGAAATGGAAAATGCCTCTCTGATTTTTCATTTGTTCAGCAGTAGTATCCTGCGTGGATGCAACTTGCCCAGGCAGTTTTAGCACACAATGTACTTAAGGCGTCTCTCTGCATGTTAGAAATATTAAGAAGGAAAAATAAATGCCCCTAAATTGAACTTTCAACTGTACACATACAAGAGAAAATCATTTGCCAACAGGCAGCCCCAGGCTGCAAATCACTTTCTCAGCAGGAAAGAAAATTAAATCTGGCATTTTAAAGCTTTTTTTTTTTTTTTTAAATCTCAGGATGGGTTGGGAGCAAGAAGGGAATAAACACTTGGAAGGAAAAATATTGAATGTGCACAGTTTGAAATGAATGATTGAAAACCTTTCTATACATAATATTCTGGCAACTCAATAATTCTAGCAGCAAAGATGCAATTGGGAAATCTGAAAACATTGAGACTCTTTATTGATAAGGCCACTGATGTTTCTTCCTTTCCCAGAACCACTGGCAGCCATGTTTCTACTGCAGTGCTAAAGCTGAGGGTTTTGCTTCTTTTGTTTGGGTGGCATGAATTTTAAGCCAACTGATAAGTTTCTAGGCATATCATTACATTTGGCTGTCCCATACCTCTCTCTCTACCTCCACAGGCATCTTTCTTTGTAGTGTATAATATGGTGACAACTGAAGTGATTGCTGTGTTTGAGAATACATCGGATGAGCTTTTGGAACTCTTTGAGAACTTCTGTGATCTCTTCCGTAATGCTACCTTGCACAGTGAAGTCCAGTTTCCCTGCTCAGCCTCCAGCAACAATTTTGCAAGGCAGATCCAGCGCCGGTAAGCTGTACCACCAAGCTTCACAAGCTTGACTTTCCTTTAGAAAAATTGTTGGTAGGCCAGTAGTCATTTCCTCCAGGACACCCCCCTTCTCTGTCTATCTGGCCTTGGTTAGGTGTACCTGTTGTAACCAGTCCCTTGTGTCATGCTGACTTCTCTCTCTTTCAGTACTTGTGGAATTTGTGCATCATTATATAGATTCTTTCTAGAGTGTATGTAAGCTGTAGATAGTGTGTCTGTTTATTACTATATCATCAGTGGTGCACTGTTGAATACTTAAATGTTTGTTGAATGAATGAGTAAGGAAATCATTTTAGAACTTTTGCTTAAATATGGTGTGTTGAACACATGAATCTATTTCTCTTTCACTGCAAAACTCTCTCAAAATGACAATAAAGAAATTAGAGGTGTGAACCTTAAAGAACATAGAGAATGAGAGAACAGACAGTTGGATACAAGATATTAATAAAATTTTGGAGGCTGAAGAGCCAGGGGATGAGGTAGCATACCTCAGGGAGAAAGACTTAAGGCTTCTGAGCTTAGTTATCAAGAAACAAGCCTGCCTTAGAACACAGAGCTCCAAAAAGGGTCAGAGATTGGAGGAGGCTCTAGGTCCCTCCCAGGGTACCTGTGAGGTGGGTTGAAATTAGAATTGTCAGACTCTCTAAAGCCCTTCCCTAAGCCTTCAGCAGCCAAAATACTCTTCCCCTACCTTCATGAAGGGTTTCAAGTTTATTCTCTGGACATAGTAAACCAGAGAGGCTCTGGTCTTCATGAGACAGCGCTGACAGTGGGGTGAAACATCAAGCTTAAAACAGAAATTAAGTGAAAGTTGACATACTGAAGGGTAAGATACCTATTCTCTTTTCCAGATATGATATTCAGGTTTATGTCCCATGCAGGAGATAGAGATTTTTCCCTAGGGAAACTGACCACTCCCAAGAAGAGACCTTCAAGTATTGATACTTGGAGTTCCTTCACCAAATACCCTGGCCATCCTAAATTGATCCATACCAGTTAGCAAGGTCCTCTTATGAACCAGAGCTTCTAATAATTACCTTAGTTCATTTTCAAGAAAGAAATAGTTTCTTTGGGCTAAGGACCCAAACTAAATCTTGTGCTAGTCAAATAGGACCTCAAATATCTTAATTGTTCTAACCTTAATCAGGTATGGAAGATATTTGCCTTAGTTTCCAAGATGGGTCAAACCACAATAAGTGGTTAAATCAAATTAAGTATTACTGCTACTGGGAAAAAATGAGCAAAGCGGGTATCTTAAGTTAGTGGCCTCATATTTTTATTAAAAGGATAGTATTCAACTGGAAATAGAGAGCGATTGATGTTCAGACAACTAACTTGCCTATCCTTTTTCTCTGGTGCACACAAATCTTTTGCCTTATTAGCATCTCTACTCAATTAGAAGGAGTTTTTGGACATGGCTCAGATTCTGCTTTTTTCATTGTGGAATGAACTCTTTCTTTTATTTATTTGCAGTACTAGGGATGGAACCCAGGAATCTTCTTGTTTCAAAATTAACTTATTTATTTAATTTTAATTTTGAGACAGGGTCTTGCTAAGTTTCTTAGGGCCTTTCCAGGTTGCTGAGGCTGGCCTTGAACTTGCAGTCTTTCTGTCAGCCTCCCCAGCTGCTGTGTTTACAGGTGTGTGTGCCTGCTCTTGGCAAAAATTAACTTTTAAATTAAGCAGATCATTAAATTCAAAAGGTGGGTACACTCAGAGACGTCCCTGAGAGGTAAGCTTCATTAGGGTAGGGATTTTTGTGTATTGTATTCACTACCATATTTGCAGCACCAGGGCCAATGTCTCATTTGAGAGGAGCTCATATATATCTGTTGAATGAATGGAGTATCCAAAAAGTAAAGGAAACTATTTTCTGAAAAGTATTTCACAGTGCCTCTGGAATTAAGAACTGCAGGAGACATCTGGAGGAGGAAATAAAGAGAAAAATTGTATATTTTAGCTCAGTGGTCTTCAAAATAGTTTTTCTTCATATGATCAAAGGATTTTTAAGAAATATAGGTAACCTTCACAGTTTTTAATTGATCTCTAATTTTTTTTAACTATTACTACTAAAATTAGTTTTAGAGGATACTATTCTCAGTCTATATTGAACAATAACATTTAAAAATAAAATAATTGCCAGGCATGGTGGTGCATGCCTGTAATCCCAGCAACTAGGAGGTTGAGGCAAGAGGATTGCAAATTCAAGGCCCGCCTCTGCAGCTAGCAAGCCTGTGCAATTTAGTGAGACCCTATTTCAAGACAAAAAATAAAAAGGACTGAGGTGGTAGCTCAGTTGTAAAGCAACCATGGGTTCAATCCTCCTCAGTACCAAAAATAAAATAATAATAATAATAAAATTATTGTTTGATTCCCAGAACCATACACACACATGCAGAAATAATAAAATCATTATGGCATTCTTTTTTTTTTGCACAAAGCCAACAGGGTTATGAGATCTTTTATGTAGTTCAACATAGAAGGTGACACCAAAGTAACTGAAGTTACAGTTTGTGTGCCTCCATCTCCCACCCCTGTATTCTGATCCAGTGGCTGCCAAAGACAGAAGGGGTGAAGTAGGGTGCTTGATCATGGAGAAAGTTGCTGTGGTTGGCCCCCACAGATGGGAAAAGAAAAGGTTTCATTTCTTCACAATCTGAATGACATCCTCGTCCTCCAATGTATGGTCGTTACCCACTTTCTGTGGATTGTGTTTCACAGAGAGACCCCAGACCAGAGCATATTTAAATTCTTTTGATAAGATTTTTGTGAATCTTCATGCAGAAATCCTCCACCGTGGTCCTGGAGTAAGGCAGCACCACTGGAGATGTGTAATCTGGTAACTAGCCTTTGGGTTTGGTGTAAATTCTCACTAGTTTCAAATAGTCCCAGATCTTTTCTAACAGGTCATCAAAATTCCAGTGGTGATGGGCAGAGATGGGTACACAGTGAGGCACTTTATAGATGATATCCAATTCCTCAACGGAGATTTGATCAATCTTATTTAATACATAAATACAGGGAATATAAACCCTGTTTCCTTCCACCACATCAATGAGGTCATCAGCTGTGGCATTACTACGCAAAGTCACATCAGCATTATGAATTTTTTATTCAGCCAGAATGCTCTTCACAATTTCAGCATCCAGCTCACTCTGAGGGCAGGTAGCTGTGAGATTAATGCCTCCTTTATCTTTCTTCTTAAAGCCAATGTTGGGAGGTTTACTATTCAAGCAAATACCAAAGCCTTCCAATTCATTTTCAGTTATCTTCTTATGTCCTAGTGGCTTCAGGACTTCCAGAACAATCAGGATCAAATTGCATGTTCAGGTCACTGCAATAACCTGACAGCCCCTACCTTTCCCATCCTTGGCACCTTCAATGATACCTGGGAGATCCAGAAGCTGTATTTTGGCACCTTTGTATGTGATGACACCAGGCACAGTAGTTAGGGTAGTAAATTCATAGGCTGCCATTTCAGAATATACCCCAGCCAGGTTACTCAGTAGTGTTGACTTCCCCACAGATGGAAAACCCACAAACTTAAATCAAGCATCACCAGTGTTGGCCACATCAAAACCTTCTCCTGGCCCACCACCTCCACCACCTTTTGGAGTAATGAGTTCTCTACGAAGCTTAGCAAGGTGAGCTTTAAGCAGCCCTAGGTGGTGTGCTGTTGCCTTGTTCTTTGGAGTCTGAGCCATCTCGGCTTTGATCTCTGCGATCTTTGCTAAGGTGCTACTCAGGTGGCGAGTCTTGGGGGTACAGCGCAATCTCCCATTATGGCATTCTTTTGGATAGCCAAAGGACTGTATCTATCATAGTAATTTGGTGTTCAAGTTGTTTGATATAAGAAATATAGAGCAAATTATTCCCATTATATTGGAAATTTTACACTGTTTCTTCCTATTTTCAAATTCATATATTATTCCATCTTAACCAAACAAGTGTATCCCAATATAATATATTTTGTTGACTACCCTGTCATACTTGAGTCACTGAAAATATAATGTATATGTAAATAGAAATTATTTTTCATTTCGTATGAACACTAGACTCTAAATGCTAAATTTTATGGTACTCTTTTCTTAATAATCTTTTGATAAAAAATGGAAGAACATGGGCCCATTGTCAGAATTAAAAAAAAAAAAATGATAACCAAGGATCATGAATCATTTCCTTTATCTTAAAAGAAAACAAAACAACAGTATAAGGAATAAAGGGAATCAGGGACTTAAAATTTGTTAGATATAGTTGAGGAACTCTCCAAGGACATAGAATAAAAAGGTAAGGAATATGGAACAGAAACAGTTAAAAAAAAAGGATCTGCCCATGAGGGCCAGGATGTGGCCCTAAATTTTTCTAATTCCAGAAGAATAGAAAAAAATGAAGGGGATGAACTCATAGGAGCATTTTTTAGTACTGAGGGATATAACTTTCCCAATTGGCAGGGCCATCCAGTGGTTACTGGAACTGATTCATTGACTGTGTTTTCATGAAAACTGAGTTAAACTTTCAGGAATTTTTGCAAGCTGATCGTTAAACATAGCCATTATTAAAAATTATTTCATAGTTATTGATTCCTTATTTTGCCATAATTGGTGCTCTCAAGGTTATTTTTATCTTATGTGTGTAGTAAAAGCACTATATAATGATGTGCCATGGCTGATCTCTTGACAACTCCATTTGATGATGTCACATTATTACCTTGAAATTGACCACAGCAGGAAGTTTTACACCACAGAAATTGGCGTGTGCTACAAATCATGATTTTTTTCCCCCAGAGAAAAATTAATAACCTTTATCAGCATACCACTGAATCTGTCATGTACCCAGTATAGTCAGTGCACTGAGGCATATCATTATGAAATTTTAGAACATTCAAAATAAGGGAAAATTGTAAAACCTTTCAGAAAGAATATTTCTATGTAAAAAAAAAAAAAGGTAAGTCAGCTAGATGACATTGAATTTATTAATAGCAATATTGAAAGATTTAAGCTACTAAAATCATTCTCAAAATTTTATGAAAAAGGGGATTTCTATTCTAGAATTTTATATCGAAATAATAGAGTAGAACAAGGATGTTTTCAGATTTGTAAGATTCAAAAAATTACTTCCTGTGTACCTTTTCTGAGGAAGCCTTAGGAAAATGTATTTCACCAGTAAAACACAAAGGAATGGTATGCAGGAAATGGAGAATACTGGAGAGAGGCTGACAGAATTCTGAGGATGACAGTAAAAGGAAGTTGCAGGATGGCAGTCCAGTAGTCAGACCAGATGGCAATAAGAGCATGGAAGATTGCAAGAGAATGTATCCCAGGAGAAAACAAAATTGTGATAATATCTGGGGTTTTGAATATATTAGGAAATTATCACAGGACTGGGGATGTAGCTCAGTGGTAGAGTGCTTGCCTAATGTGCCCAAGGTCCTGAGTTTAATCTCCAATCAACACACACACAAAATTGTCAGTTCTGTTCTAGTGGGGTTGTCAGTGGTATTTGAGTAAAAGCTTTTTAAGGAGATTAGGGAGCAAGCCATGTGGATATGAGTAAGAAGAATATACTAAACAAAGAAAGTAGGAAATCGAAACATCCTGAGATGTTTCTGATGCATTTGAGGCATACCAAGGTGACCAGGGTGGCTGGATTGGAGATGGAATCAGAAACCAGATTGGGGGGGCTAGGTAAAAATGGCCATTCTATGGCTTTGATTTTCACTGTAGATAGATTGTACAGTTTGAACAGAGGAATTATGTAGTCTCACTTAGGTTTAACAAAATCACTTTGACTGCTTACGTTCTGGTGACTGGAGGGCTAGAGTAGAAGCAGAGACACCAGCAAAGAGACTATTGCACAGATCCAATAGATAAAATTGTTACATTGTTTCCTGCCACAGGCTTAAGGTTGGTTGGCTTCCCCCCACCCCCACTATCACTGATATCTCTCAGGCACATAGAAAATTGCCTGGCACATACCAAATCTTCTGTAATTATTTGTTGATTAACAGGTAGCTTAACTGGGTGCAGTTAATATGTGCAGTAGTGTACACATGTAATCCCAGTGATTTGGGAGGCTGAGGCAGGAGGATCCAAAGTTCGAGACCGATTGGGCAATTAAGCGAGACACTGTCTCAAAAAAAAAAAAATTGGGGGGAATAGTTCAGAAGCCATTGGTTTCAATCCCTAGTATGCCTCTTCAAAAAACAAAACAAAAACAGTGTGGTAGCACTGGGCTAGTAAGTGATTGTATTCTCAAAGTAGTTTGAAGTTAGAGACCAGTAGGTTAGTGAAGGATGGGATGTAGGTTATTAAAGGGCAGAGTCAAATATGATTCTAATGTTTTTTACTTGGTCAGCTTGCAAGAGAGTTGCCATTAAACTGTAGTGGCAAAACCTGTGGATGGACCAGATTTGGGAGAGAAGATCAAGGTTCTATATGTGAGAGGTTTAGTAGTTTGTCAAAATAGAGTGTTAATTGTGTCAGAGCCACCTGACAGGTCAGGTAATAAGGACTGATAATTAAATATTTTTAGTAGAGATCACTAGTGAGCTTGGCAAGAACAGTTTCAGTTAGATGGAGGGGGTGAAAAACTGGGTGTGTTTAAAGAATAGAGGCTTGGGGCGTAGCCCAATGGTAGAGCATGTGCTTAGCATGCATAAGGCTCTGCATTCAATCCCTAGCACTCCTGCCATCTCCCTCCACCACCAAAAAAAAAAAAAAAAGGAACCAGGGAGGAAAAAGTTGAAAAGTTGGAGAAAATTTTTTTAAAAAGTATTTTTGTAAAGGAGAGCTGAAAATTAAGTGGCTCATTAAATGAAGAGGAAAATGTTTTTATTTTCGTTATTATTTTGGTACTGGAATTGAACCCAGGGGGCTTAACTATCCAGCCACATCCCCGTCCCTTTTTTATATTTTATTTAGAGACAGGGTCTCTTTGAGTTGCTTAGGGCCTGCTAAGTTGCTAATGCTGGTTTTGAACTTGCAATCCTCCTGCCTCCCGAGCTTGTGGGATTACAGGTATGCCCACTGCTCCTGGCCTTATTTTTTAAATGGGAGAAAAAGATGGCAAGGGTATATGCAGATAGAACTGATCCTGTAGAGAAGGGGGAAACTGACATTTGAAGCAAATGGAGAAAGAATTATGTTAAGTATATGAGAGGGGAAGGGATCTGATGCCCAAGTAAAGTGACTGGACATTTATATAGGGACAGACGTAGGGCACATGTGCTGGTGATGGCTTTGAAAAGTCCTGCTTGCTTCTATTTATCACTAACAAAGTAAGCAATGCCATTAGTTGAGAGGGTGCATGGAGGGGATGAAGTCATGGGAGAAAATGGGAGTCCTGGCTGGATTCTGGAAGTGTAGTACGAATGCCCTGCAACAGTAAGGGCCCACATAAGGTTCCTGGTCATATGTTTAAAGTGAACATTCCTGTATGCTTTTCTCTAGCCACAGAGAAAACTGAGTGGACACAGACCTGGAATAGGCAGAGTTGAGTCATGGTTTTTCTAAGCAAGTATGACAGAGGAGAGATCAAGATTGTTGAGAATGAGTGTGATGGAGTGATTTTCATGATCATGGAATATAAACAGGTTAAGGAGGAAAGGGAGGATGTGACGAAGGTGTTGGATGGCAAAAAGTAGTAGACTATACATCCCGTGGGTTGAACAATTATTGAGGTAGGGATGAAGAGGGTAGGAGCTATAAAGATCGGAGAGAAGATGGTTGAAAAATGTGTTAGCCTAGCTGAGACTACAGAAGGGTTGTAGTCATTGTTAATGATGAGGTTGAGGGTGGGACATGGGAACAACTGAGGCTGGGAAGAGATCAGGGCACTAGGAGTCTTTGGTGTTAGAAAGATTATATCTGACAATTTTGAGACTACATAGAATTAAGGGAGGTTGATTGGACAGTGACATTGAGCCAGGAGTTAACCTGGCAAAGATGTTAGAGAGTGGCTGCTTCATCATTTAGGAGGGAGCATGGAGAGTGGAGGAGGTGGGTACTGGTGCAGAACAAGAGCTGTTTCAGTCTAAAGGCTATCATAGAGGCTTTGACCCACGATAATTACAAGACCATAAGCCAGCCCCCATCACTTTACCTTCTGAAGTCAGATATATGTTTCTGTCTGTCACTGTTTTTCTGGAAACTGGTGTTTCTGCAGGATTGTATTTAGCTTATTCTTAAACTGTATTTAAACACAGAGTAATTTGTCCAAAAGTTTGATGGAAGCTAACTTATAACCAATCCCAAGAAGAATTAAAAGCTGTTTCAGTATTCCCTGCTCTTTACTTCTCCTCTACTCACTATTGGGGATATTAAGTTCTTGAATTTTTCCCCCTAGTTGAGCTGTTATCAAAAGAGTAGAGTTGGGTGTGGTGGCACATGCATGTAATCCCAGCGACTTGGGAGACTGAGGCTAGAGGATCGTGAGTTCAAAGCCAGCCTCAGCAACTTAGAGAGGCACTGAGCAACTCAGTGAGACCCTGTCTCTAAATAAAATACAAAATAGGGCTGGGGACATAGCTCAGTGGTTGAGCACCCCTGAGTGTAGTTCCCGGTAAATGCCCCCCTCAAAAAAGAAGAGTAGAAATAGTTATTATAGAACAGTAATAATTCATTTTAAACTGGTTTGAGTGCCTTTGTTAACTTTTCTAAAGTAATATAATGTTCCCCATTTTTGTTTTCTGCATTTTAAGAGTATTCTGTAGCTAGCCAGACTTATGGTGTATGAGAAAGTCCTAACTTTATTTGATATCTGGAATTTAATATTTATTTACAGAGTGAGTGGTTTTTAGATGTGTTTTTCAATTTAAAATCCAAGGTAGTTGCTAGGAAAGCCTTCCTCACTGGTGCTGTGTTTTAGGTTCAAAGACACGATTATAAATGCCAAGTACGGAGGGCACACAGAGGCTGTGCGCCGGCTGCTGGGTCAGCTCCCCATCAGTGCACAGTCCTACAGTGGCAGCCCCTACCTGGATTTGTCTCTCTTCAGCTACGATGACAAATGGGTGTCAGTCATGGAGCGACCCAAGACTTGTGGAGATCACCCCATCAGGTACTTTGTCACTGCCACAGCAGCACACTGCTCAAGGGCTGAAGACAGCCTGCTTTCTGTCTTCTCTTTTTCTTGAACATCATTCCATTGTGACTGCCTCTGCTTGTACTGGTGGATTAGACTGAAAGGGTAGGCTGTATCTGTAATGGACTGAGTGCTTTGATCATGTAGGTACTAGTCCTATAAATGAACTACTCCTATCCTTTGCTTGCCATCAAAACATCTAATTCAGATAAATGTTTTTTGTTTTAAAGGTATCTGGGGAAAGGAACTGTACTCTGTGCTAATAGGAAGAGGAATTGGCACTAGGGGGGTTTTTCTGGGAGGAGGGAGTATATCCCTGGAGCCCTAAGCTGGAGCTTGGAAGGTGTTTTCACATAGAAGCCATGGTTGGTAGAGATTTATGGTAGATGTCTTTCATTATTCAGCTTTATTGTGAATTAAATGGATCTGTGTGGTGTATTCTGCTTAATCACTGTTTTATAATAGTTCCTTTGGGAGATTGCAGTCAATTCCAAAAACCAGTTCAACTTTTTTTTTGAATCATGGAAAGTTTTAAACTTATACAAAAAGTGAGAGAATATGATGACTTTCCATGTACCTTTACCCAGTTTCAGCAGGTACCAATTCATGACCAGTCCTTTTTCATCTCTTCCTACTACAACAACATCCTTTCCTTTCCACTGTCACCCCAGATTATCTTGTAGCAAATCCCAGTAATCCTAGCATTTTGTCCCTAAATATTTCAGGGAGTTCTAAAAAACAAAATTTAAAATAACAACAACAAAAATTCTTAATATCATCTCATCTTAAGAAAATTAACAAAAAGTTATTAATACCACCAAATATCTGGTCAGTTTTCACTTTGCTATGTTGCAACTATTCTTACTGCTTATTATTGTAATTATGGTTACCATCATATTTTGTTTATTCTTTGATTTAGTCAGTATCTAAACAAAATTCATGCATTGCATTTGGTAACTGTTCCCTTAAATCTTTTTCATTCTGCATTCTACTTCCCTCTTTTATTTTCCTTGCAATGAAATTGTTGAAGAAACCATGTTGTTTGTTCTGTAGTATTCCCATATTCTAGATTTTGCCCATTGCATCCCTGGGGTAGTGTTTACTATATTTCTCATTCCCCCTACTTCCTGTGCTGGTCATTAGGTTTAGAAGCTTAAACAGCTCACTTTAAACTACAGCCCTTTGTGTGTTGGGGAGTGTGTGAGTAAGGTTAATGTTAATGTGCTTTTACTCATAAAAGCCCATAATGGGCCTCATTTGATATAGTCATGTAGCAGGAGATACATTTCTGTCCTTTCTGACTTCTCTGCCTTCTCGTTTGAAAACGTGAACCCAACTAACACATCTGGCAGTGCCATTGTTTTTGACAAAGGGGTTTTCTTGTTGTTGTTATTTTTAATTCAAAATGAGAAATGTAAGGATTAAGATATTTGAAGAGGTACTCTAGCACCTTTATTCTTTATTGTCTGTTCATTCTAGTGTGTGTCAGTATGCGTGTTTACATTTATATTGTTGTAATTATGATTAGTGTCACACTTTGTAGTATTTTCTAAACAATTTTCCATCTTCTTGCATAGTCCTCATAATTACAGTCTTAATGATGGCATATTATTTAATCAAGTAGATGTGCCATAATTTATTTATTCCCTTAATGCTGAGCACTTATGCCATAGTAGCTGACTTTAACCAAGTCACTATTTACTTTATTTAGCTTAAATTCTGAGGATATGAATTCTTGGGAATGGGATTATTTTATCAAAGCCCATCTTTAGGTAGGCTTACATTTTGCTTTCTAAAAGGGAAATTATAGAGATATTAATTCAAGGTCGTTCATTTCTAGAACTTGTCCCCAATTCAGCTCCTAGCCTGCCAATTATCTCTAGTTCCTCAAACCAAAAGTCATTTATTTTGCAATTGGGAGGATTAATGTATGGGAGCATAATTAGTCTCACTGTACTGAAGGAAAAATTAAGCCGGGCGTGGTGGTGCATGCCTATAATCCCAGCAGCTTAAGCTAGCCTCAACCACTGTGAGGTGCTAAGTAACTCAGTGAGACCCTGACTCTAAATAAAATAAAAGATAGGGCTGGAGATGTAGCTCAGTGGCCAAATACCCCTGGGTTCAATCCCTGGTACAAAAAAAAAAATAAAAAAAAATTAAAAACTGCTTAGCATTTTGTGTGTGAAAAAGAAGAACCTTCCAAAATAATTTATTCTTAAAAATGAAAAACAAAAAAGGTAGACTTAGAGCTGCTCTGTCCTATGTGGTAGTTGATACCTGCCTGTGGTTATTGGAGCACTTAAAATGAGATGAGTTTGGGTTGAGATGTGCTCAAATGTCAAATACACACCAGATTTCAAAGATTTAGTTAAAAAATGGGAAATATAGAGACTGGGGTTGTGGCTCAGTGGTAGAACACTTGCCTGGCATGTGTGAGGCCCTGGGTTCGATCCTCAGCACCACCTATAAATAAACAAATAAAGTGAAAAACCCATTGACAACTAAAAAAAAAAGGGGGGGATATAAAAATGGGAAGTATATATATTTTTGTTGAACATAGGTTGAAATGACAATATTTTGGATAATTAGGCTCAATAAGATATTTTATTATAACTAATTTCACCTTTTTCTTATTACTCTTTTAAATGTGGCTACCTGAAAATTTAAAGTTACACGCTTAGATTTGTGGCTTGTATTTTATTTCTAGCCCTGACCTAGACAGTGTTTAGGCAGCATCTTCTGGAAGCCAAGAGGCTATGATTAAGAGTGTAGTAAGGGTCATCTTGGGAAAGAGAAATAACCAGTGACTCAGGACATTAGTAAAATTCATAATCTCTCTGCCCCCAAAATGAATTGTGTAGACCTAGGGGATTTTATAGATTGATAACCTGGGGCTGATGTATGAGATTTCATTAATGAGGTAAAACAAATGAGTTGCTGTATCCCCCACTGTCCAGATTTTAAGGTGGTAGTGAATATCAACATGATCCTCTCTTTCTGTCTCCTTTTTCCATTTAGGTTCTATGCCCGGGACTCTGGCTTGCTTAAGTTTGAGATCCAGGCAGGCTTACTGGGCCGCCCCATCAACCACACAGTGAGGCGCCTCGTTGCCTTCACCTTTCACCCTTTTGAGCCTTTTGCTATTTCTGTGCAGAGGACTAATGCTGAGTATGTTGTCAACTTCCATATGCGACACTGCTGCACATAGGTGCGTGACCACAGCCAGGTTATCTGGCCTTCCAGGACTTTGCCCGCTGCTCATTTCAGTGGATTAGAGTACATGCTGCCAACTACCAGCTCTGTGGGTTTTGTACTGGAATACCTCACATGGAACAGAGCCAGGGAGGAGCAGGGGCTCAGCATAATGGGTTTGTTTATTGTATACAATACTGCTACTGATTGATTTGAAATCCTTTTGCTTTTTCCCTGTGGGAATGCCCAGCATTAATTGAGTCCATTTAATTTGTATTTAGCATTTTATTGCTGTGAAGATAAAAGCATTATACCTTAACCCCTTTCATGTCACTTCTTTGGCATTATGGTATGCAGCCCAAAGCAGGTAAATCTTGTTCATAAGAACTGTGTACAATTTTCCACTTACCCAACAAGCAGAACTATCTTTATAATAAAAAATTAAAGCCTTGGTATTTTCTTACTTAAACATATCTTGTCTGATGACTGCCTTATGTTCCCATCACACAATGGTTTTTGAGTGCTTGGGTTCCAGGAGGGACTGAAAGAGACGAGAGTCCTTGATGCAGCAGCTGCCCTGGGAGCGTAAGAGGTGAGTGCCAGCGTGGAAGACATTTACTTCCAGGATTCTTTCCCTCCCCAGGGTTTTCTCCTGGTAATTGTTACAGCTGGAGGAGTGGGGCATAATTGTGTGTTCTCATGTGGAAGCATGCTCGTGTCTGTACCATCTGTGTCATGCAGGTGGAAGAGCTAGCAGCCCTTGTTGGCCATAGTAGAAACAAACACTGAGTAGCACGTACTGTCCTTCCATTAGTGGGAGCTGGAAAACTCTAGGTGTCCCTAAAGAGATCAAACTGGTTGTCCCTGAGTGACTGAGCTGTCACAGCTATACTATAGACAACTGCTGGCCCCTGGTCTGCATCCTTCTGTCACATTTTTAACCAGTCTCCTCTGGAGGGTTTCTCAAACTATTTATGTTTTCATCTGCATAATGCATCCCCTGGTAATGTAGTCAGTCTGTTTAGCGACATCTGCCTTTGAAGGTAACTTTGAAATGTTGAGTTGCAAAGCAGGCTGTGAAAGGAGCCATGGATACAAACAGCTGGATCCTTTATTCCCTGTGCCTTTGAGAATGTAAAGACTGATATGAGATGCTGACCCCCACCAAAAGACAATATGGTTAATTTCATCAATATTGAACAGCTAAATCCATTCTCATTCAACCTTTAACACAAGATTTGAGCAACTACTATGAGTCAGGTAGCTACTATGCACAGATGCTAAAGATGAGGAGAGAAATTGATTCTTGTAATACAATATAGTTAAAGCTCTAGTAATGTCTCTCTGAGGATAATGGAAGGAGATGGAGTAGAGGCAAAGAAAGAAATACTGGGGAAGGGGCACTGAAATTGGATAAATAGGAGTGCATTGTGTGGGCCAGGGTAGAGGATATTTCAAGGAAAAACTGCATGTACAGAGGCAAGAAAATGAAAAGGCCTTAGAGGTGGTAGCCTGGCAGATAATCTAATAAGTCTACATGAGCTGGGGTGGAGAGGCAGGGGAGAGGTGACTGAACAGGTAGGCTGCCACGATATCATGAGAGGTCTTGTGCATAGTGCTAGCATTTTACATTGTGGAAGGCATAACATGAATTTCACAAAGGTAACTTTGAGCAGAATGGAAAGTGGTGGGAGTGAACTCTAGAGAGAGAGAGGGAGGCCAGGTAAGTCACTGGTGGTCATCTAGAGAAGAAAAGGACATCCCTGGGCCTCTCTGGATGGATGAAATACTTTGTAAATCATGATGAGCTTTGGTTCCAGTGATGCAAGTGGTCAAATCATGTATGAACAGCAGTCCTGTTCTTGTGTTCAAATACTTATTTCCCTAGGAGTCTGATCATGTGTTTGTGAGGCCACACTAGAGAGAGGGAGGTCAGATAGGCAAGGGCAGCACCTAACTCTTTCTAAACCCCACCACAATCAACTTGAGACTCCACTGACACCTCTGGCCCCTGACCCAAACTGGGTTAATTAGAGGGCTAAACTGCTGGAACAAGAGGCCCCTCTAGGCAGTGATTCAAACAAGATTGGACTTTGGTTTTCTTTCTGTCCCTCCAGTCAACTTAGGGCAGATGTTCAAAGTTCAAAGTGGTTCTTTGACACACTGCGTTTCAAAGTCCTGTCGTCTTTTTTCTCTGCTGTCCTCTGTGGCATCTTCCTGGGAAGAGGATGAAAGAGCATGAAGGAAGCTGCCTGGTCACAGGCTCCTGTGTGTCCATTAGTGACATTCGTTACTTCTGATTCACAGTCCATGGGAGATGTCTCCTTAACCATATGGCTGCATGTAATAAGCAAGAGAGCCTGGGAAACACAGTGTACCTACTCAGCCATGTGCCGGGTATGCTTGAATTCAGAATAAGAAAAAAGCGAGCTTTGGTGGATAATTAGCTGTCTCTGACACTGAGCATCTCCAATAACTCTCATTTCCCCTCAGGTCCTCTCCTTTTTTTCTTATGTAGCCTAGGTCATGTGGTTTTGACACTGTACACCACTCCCTGCAATTGCACTTCAACATCTTGCTGTTGTACTTCCTTAATGCTAGTTTAGAAAAATCTCAACTCTACATATTTGTGTTTGAACATGTGAAAATTGCTGTAGGAAAACCATGTCTGTTCTTAAATTCTTGATCACAGACAAAATGGACACTCAGAAATCCTCATATATTCTCTTTATCTATTTATTTTCCCTCTCTTGGCAACTACTTTCACCTACCACTGTCCTCAGAATTCTTTGCACTTCTCAGTTGGCCATCTTGCTGCCTTTATCATGGCAGAAGTGGAAATGATCATGTAGGAATTCCCTCCCATTTCACTTTGTGTCAAATCCTGTGTCTTGCATCTGTTCTTGTTCTTTGCATTTTCTCCTGATACAGTGAATGACATATTCCTGCTTCTCTGAAATGCCAGCTTCTCTACCTTCCATTGAATCCTATTTCCTTTTCACTTATCAAAAGACTTTGGACTTTGTTCCTATAATTATTTTCTCTCTGCGTATCATCTCTTGATAAGCTGATGGATATGCTCTAAGACCTTCTGCCTTTAAAACCTCCTGTTTTGGTTCCCTCATTCCCCTTTAGTTAGTGCACATTTCTCTGCTGTCATTCACAGCAGAACTTCTCAAAAGAGTTGTCTGTCTGTTTTCATTTCCCTATGTTCCATTTTTCCACAACCCACTCCAGAAAGGTTTCTCTCCCCCCACCCCCTCATTGCACTGACACTGCAGTTGTCTGGGTTTTCAGTGATTTCATGTTGCCAGTACCTCTTCTCCCTCTCTTATTGAGCTTCTCAGTGTTGGACATAGTTGCTTTCTCTCTGTATCAGAAACACTTGGTTCTCCTGGTTTCTGGGATAGCATATGGCTCTGGTGTTCCTTCTGCCTTCCTGATTTTTGCTTCTAGGTCTCCTCTCCTGACTTCCTCTCTACTCTACTTTAGTTGTTGGAGTGCCCCAGTGCTCACTAAGTCTTGGATTCTCACCTTTTTTTCCTATTTTTAGTCAATTTCATCCATTCCCATCATCTTAAATTCTAGCTTTATATTGACGACTCTCAAAGCTATAACTCTAGCCCTGACCCCTTCCTTGAGCTCTAAATTCATTTATCCCATGACTTACATGACCTCTTCGTTTAGATACTGAATAGGTATTTCAGAACTAACATGTCCATAATAATTCTGTGATTCCTACCCCTACCTCCAGCCTATTTTCCTTTTAAGATTTTCCATATGGTTGGGCATGGTGGCACACACTTGTAATCCCAGTGACTTAAGAGGCTGACTTGAAAAGATTGCAAGCTCAGAGCCTTGGCAAACTAATAATAATAATAATAATAATAATAATAATAATAATAATAATAAAGGGTTGAGGTTGTAGCTCAGTGGAAAAGCCCAGGTTTGAAATCTAGAATCACCCCCCCGCCTCCCCCCCAAAAAAAATTCCATATGGCTTTAAGATCTACCTATTTACTCGAGCCACCGCTTATAAATTGTTCTCAGTTTCTCTTTTTCTATCACTTTCCACTCCTGCCCTCCAATATCTGACTTTACAGTAGGGATGTGCCCTGAGCAATCTAAACTAATGGTATCATTTCCATATTCCTGCCAGTGTCTACAATGGGATCCTAGGCCAAAACTCTTCAGTTAGTTTGGGGATGTCCTGTGTCTTAATTCAGGCTTGTGATACCACAAGGTAAAGAGTTCTGGGGAATATTTCTGTTTTGAGAATGTCAGGAAACACATAGCCTACATTTCCATCATCCAAGACCCCATGACCATACTCAAAAAGAAGCTGCACCAGAATAAAACTGACTTCTAGATGCAGAATGAAGAACAGGAAAGAATCTTGCTCCTTGATGACGTGCTGGTTGGCTGGAACACATAACCCTGAAACCTACCCTATATCTGGATTTCTAGTTCTGCAAGACAGTACATTTCCTTAATTGTTTAAGTCACTTTGAATCGGGTTGTCCATTTCTTGGAATTGAAAGCAAATTAACATTTGGAAAGATAATAATCTTTTTTTTTTTTTTTCCTTTGTGGTACTGGGGCTTGAACTTAGGTTCTACCACTGAGCAACTTCCCTAGCGCTTTTGTTTGTTTTTTAAATTTTGGGACAGGGTCTCACTAAGTTGTCGAGGCTGACCTTGAACTTGTGATCATTTTGCCTCAGCCTCCCAAATTTCTGGGATTACAGGTGTCTGCCACTATGCATGACAGATTTATGAAGTTCTTGCTGGCTGGGTACTTTCTTAGAAGCAGTTTGAGTTTCTGTGAGGCCCTATGATGCAAGGATTCCTGTTCTTGAATTTCCATGTTTCTCTGGCTCTTCTATAGTTCCTTGCAGCCATACTTGAGTTGGCCTGAGTGTTTCTTGTAACTAAGAGGATTTAACTAAATAGGACATAAAGCACCCAGTCCATTGTGTACTTGGGTGGCTTGAATTCTTAATCTGTGTGTGTGTGTTTATATTAGCTTTGTTCCTCAAGGATTAAGGTAGCTATCAGTAAATTCTAGTATCTTCTCCATAAATGTCTAAGCTCAGAAATCTTTGGAGAAACAAGTTCTTTGGAACCAAAATGTTTAAGATAAGCAGGGACAGACTCAGAGAATCTGTCTTTAAGATGTGAATTCTTTCTTGAACTTATCTCTGCTGGCCAGAGAGCTGGCATGTCAACATGAGTGAAGCTGCTCTGGATCTTTGAGAGAAAGATTCCATTGAAATATAGCAAAGCCTCTTTAATTTGGAGCTCTTACAGAGAAGCACAGTATAAATGAGTGAAAGGCCTAAATTAGATAATTTTAAAAAGAATGGTAGCTTCATTATTTTCGAGTACATGGAGTAACTTAAACTCAGCAATGAAGTGTTCCATTGTAGAAACCCTTAGGGACATTCCTTAATGAGTAGATTATAATTATTGGT